GGTATTGTACTAATGTTGCTAGCAAGTATATGGTGGACAGGTTAGGTTTTGAGAAGACTAGACATCCTAGACCATATAGACTACGTTGGCTTAATGATCAAACCGAGCTAAAGATATCCGAGCAAGTGTCTATACCGTTTAGTGTGGGCAAATACCAAGATGAAGTCACCTGTGACGTGGTACCAATGCAAGCGGGACACCTTCTGCTAGGGAGACCATGGCAGTTTGACAGAGCCACACAACATGATGGACGAACAAACAACTACTCTCTTACACATAATGGTCGTAAGTATAACCTAGCACCTCTTAGTCCTTCTGAAGTTCATGAACTTCAAATTCGGATGAACAAAGAGGCAGAAGTAAGAAAACCAACCCTTTATTTATCTTCTGGAGCTATTTGTAAAACCATTAGTGCCCAAGGCACTGTGCTACTAATGATGTTTAAAGAGTGTCTAAGCTCAGGTATAAGTGATCTGGAAATTGCACCAACGGTTCAGCCCCTCCTCAACAAGTACAAGGATCTATTTCCCGAGGAGATACCCCCTGGTTTACCCCCAATTCGAGGCATAGAGCACCAGATTGATCTTGTTCCAGGCTCAGCCTTACCCAACAAACCAGCATATCGAATGAATCCTGAAGAAAGCAAGGAATTAGAAAGACAAGTAAGGGAGTTAATGGATAAGGGTTACATTAGAGAGAGTTTGAGTCTGTGTGCTGTACCGGTACTCTTAGTTCCCAAGAAAAATGGTACATGGAGGATGTGTGTGGACTGCCGCGCCATCAACAACATCACCATCAAGTACAGACATCCAATCCCACGCTTAGATGATATGCTAGACGAATTAAGTGGTTCAACCATCTTCTCCAAAGTTGATCTGAAAAGTGGCTACCACCAAGTCAGAATGCGTGAGGGAGATGAATGGAAAACCGCATTCAAGACCAAGCAGGGTCTATATGAGTGGTTAGTTATGCCCTTTGGCTTGACTAACGCACCTAGCACTTTCATGCGACTAATGAACCAGGTTCTTCGTTCTTATATCAGTAAATTCGTAGTTGTTTACTTTGATGATATTTTTATCTACAGTAAGAACCTAAATGATCATTTAGAATATCTGGAACTAGTGCTTAAAACACTTCGAAAGGAAGGCCTATATGCTAACCTTAAGAAGTGCATGTTTTGTACTAACCGTCTCATTTTCTTAGGCTTTGTAGTGAGTGAACAGGGACTACAAGTCTATGAAGAAAAGATAAGAGCTATCCAAGAATGGCCTACTCCTACCACCATTGGACATGTGAGGAGCTTTCACGGCTTAGCAAGCTTCTATAGGAGGTTTGTGAAAGATTTTAGTACGGTGGCTGCACCACTCACGGCTGTGATTAAGAAAAATGCACCATTCTCATGGGGAGCATCTCAAGATACTGCGTTTAACACCCTCAAGGATCGGCTCACACATGCACCGGTTCTAGCTTTACCGGATTTTGAAGAGATGTTTGAGGTAGAGTGTGATGCATCAGGTTTGGGCATTGGAGCGGTGCTGCATCAAAGGAAGAGACCCGTGGCATTTTTCAGTGAGAAGCTAAGCGGAGCCACATTGAACTACCCTACTTATGACAAGGAGTTGTACGCCTTGGTTCGTGCATTGGAAACATGGCAACACTACCTTCTGTCTAAGGAGTTCATCATTCACACCGATCATGAGACACTTAAGCATCTACGAGGTCAGGCTTCACTTAAGAGAAGACATGCTAAGTGGCTGGAGTTCATAGAAACGTTCCCATATGTTATCAAATACAAGAAGGGAAAGGAGAACATTGTAGCAGATGCATTGTCTAGGAGATATGCATTGATATCAACAATGGAGGCACGTGTAATGGGTTTTGAACACATCAAGGACCTCTACAAAGATGATCCAGACTTTAAGGAAGCTTATGAAGCTTGTGGGAAGGGAGCTTATGGATCATACTATCTTCATGATGGGTTTCTGTTTCGTGACAAAAGGTTGTGTGTACCACAAGGATCACTTAGAGAGTTACTGTTAAGAGAAGCTCATGGTGGAGGCCTAATGGGACATTTTGGTGTTGACAAAACGTTAGCTGTAGTAGTTGACCATTTCTTCTGGCCTCACCTCAAGAAAGACGTGGAGAAGCACTGCTCTCGTTGTGTCATTTGTCACAGAGCTAAATCCAGGTTACATCCTCATGGTCTTTATTTACCTTTACCTATACCTAACGCACCATGGGTGGATATTTCTATGGATTTTGTCCTAGGACTACCAAAGATAAGGCATAAGGATTCAGTTTTCGTAGTGGTGGATCGGTTCTCAAAGATGGCCCATTTTATACCATGCGACAAGACCAATGATGCCACACAAATCGCTGATCTATTCTTCAAAGAGGTGGTACGTTTACATGGTATACCTAGAACTATTGTTTCTGACCGAGATTCTAAGTTCCTAGGTCACTTCTGGAGAACCTTGTGGAGAAAGCTTGGAACCAAGCTGTTGTTCTCTACCACTTGTCATCCTCAAACGGATGGACAAACCGAAGTGGTAAACCGTACCTTATCTACTTTACTTCGAGTCACTCTTGGTAGAAATCTGAAAACATGGTTAGATTGTTTGCCGTTTATCGAATTTGCTTATAACCATGCTACTCACTCGGCTACTAAGATGTCTCCTTTTGAAGTTGTATACGGATTTAATCCTTTGACGCCTTTGGACCTTTCACCGATACCCCAAGCGGAGCAAATCAATTTAGATGGTCTAAACAAAGGAGAGTTCGTGAAGAAGCTGCATGAGAAGGTCCGAGACAACATACTGAAGAAGACTGAAGAATACAAGAAGAGGGCTGACAAAGGACGCAAGAAATTGGTCTTTGAACCAGGAGAATAGGTGTGGCTGCACATGAGACCAGAGAGGTTCCCAAACCAAAGAAGCTCAAAGCTTTCACCTAGAGGAGATGGCCCCTTCAAAGTGCTAGAGAAGATCAACGACAATGCCTACCGCTTGGAGCTGCCAAGTGAGTTCAATATGTCACATAGTTTTAATGTTGCTGATCTATCTCCTTTTGATTCAGATGATCCAGTTTTGAGGACAAAACCTTCTGAAGAAGGTGGAATGATGAGGTCATCGACCTAAGCTGTGAATCAAACCAAGACAAACCAAACATTCCCGAAGTTAAGGATGGACCAATGACTCGTTCTAAGGCAAGAAGGCTCAAGGAAGGGTTTAACAAGGCTGTAGAGACTCTACTCAGCACCATGGAACTTGGAGAGATGTCCAGAAACACTCAAGTATCTACGACTTCTCAAGAAAGCTCAAGTGCACCCGATTTGGAACTAACAGAGGACTTTGCACGTCTCAGCCTCAAGGAAGCAACTCCAACCGAAACCCATTGTAAGTCTATTTCATTGGCAGGTGTAGGAGCTAAAAACATCAAGATTTCAACAAAGAATACTTCAGAGCTGCAAGATACGTCCAAGACAAGCAATGGAACCAACAAGCTTCAAGTAGAACAAGAAGACAAGCTTGAAGGTATTCACGTGGAAACTCTTGAAGATCTTCATCAATTAGAACTCAAAGGATTCCAAGAGGAGGAAACCATCAAGGAAATCAAGCTGGACGGACCCGACCCAGACAAGACCACTTCAGCCTCAAACAAGCTCACTTCAAGCCAAAATCAGGTATTTTCAATATTTATGATTTGTGCAGGTAAGAATGAGTTCTCCTAGTGGTTTAAGCATCCCAAGAAACCAGGGAACGAGCCCCAGCAAGTGAGCAACCTAGTTAGCTTATTTTTGCTTATTTTCCATTTTTGTTGTTTAAGTACTTTTTCCTTTTTCTTTTAATTTTCCATTAAGTCCTGTTGCTGTGTCGTTTTTGGTTATTTGAGTCGCCCTAGGGCTAGCTGACGAACCCCTTTATAAGGTTCCCCTGCAGCTTTGTAACATTCACGCTTTTTCTCATATCAATAAGTAGAACTTTCTTCCTCTCAAGCCGCCGCCTTGTAGAGACTTTTGCTTGTTCTTAGGTTGTGTGATTCACCTAAGCTCGAGTGCCTTGCTGTATCAGAGATCCTTCCATCATCTCTGTGGTGCCATCGATCCACTTCACCTCCATCCTTTTGATCTCACAAGAGAGAGCGTCACAGCCAGCTTGTTTGATTCCGCATCGACTTCAAGCCTCATCCCCTTGAGTCTTGTCGTATAAACTCACCCACTGAAACTTAAGAGAGTGCGCTACAGCCAGCTTAAGTTTCCCATCGATCCTCCTCGTATTCACTCGTCCACGCTTCAAAACATCAAGCTCGACCTAACGTCGAGATAGCCGGTCGAGACCACCACTCGAGCCAGTCCTTGCACCTTTATAAGTCTCCTAACCGAGTCTTATATCAAATGTCATGAATATCTTTACGTAAAGAATGATCATGAATATTTTCAAAGAGCTACAAAAATGTCTTTTTTTTTTTTTTTTTTTTTTTTGGACAAAGAGCTACAAAAATGTCTAGATCAAGAAGAATGAGTAGTAAATATCGGAGTTAGAGTTTTAGTAGGCTGAAAGTTGGTGTAAATATCGAAGTGTTCAAAACAGGTCAGATGTATTACAAGAAAAACCTCGTTTTCTGGCAAGTCTCCATATCGAATGGGATTAAGGTATCGGCTGATCTTTTCTCGACTTGGCTGGTCCTGTCACGCATATTGGTTTACTTCTTTTTACTTGTTTTGATCCAAATGCTTCCTTCCTGGTCATAGGATCTTAAATGGGATGAAGATCTGGAGTTTAACACAATTTACTTCCTAGAGACCTTACAGATGACGAAAATGAGTAAAATCTTAAGAGAATGCGCCTAGATAATGAAAATCGGGTTACATCGATTAGCAAAAAAAACATTTTCACAAAAATTTTGTATATCTCGATCGATCTATTGATAATTTTTTCGAAAAGTAGTTCGTAATGGAATATAATAGCTAAAAAAGAAAAGAAAGAACCAAGTATAACAAGAATAACAATTGCTTTGTTTCTCTTATTAATATGGAAATCTTTGATATTGTGTTTGTTGTTGTATATATTTTTACAAGAAAGAACTATGAAAATTTATGGAAAGAATACAAAGCTAGTAACTCATATGAACTTTGACACTTAAGATTTATTTGTAACAACAAAAAAATTATATACTATGCCCCCAGCCTAAGATTAAGTCTTCTTAACCAAATAGAGTGAAGCATCATATGCATCACATCGTAGGGTTTAGCTGGACGATTCAACACGAAATGTTGCTTCACTTCTAAGACTCTCTTATACATCTTCAAGTATCTTACGAGAGAAACACTTTGTAGAATGGTTTTGATCTCTGGTATCCTAGAAACAGGGATTTGTATGGAAAAGGAATCCCAATTAAGCACATCACTGAATGGTAATGAATAATTATCCGATATGATCACCGGTACACAACCAGCATATATCGCCTCGACCTCTCTCGGGCTAGCGACCTCCCAACCACTCGGACACAGACAAAACTTACTCATTCCCATAGTTTTTGTATAGTCCTTTCCTGGGGGAAGACGGTCATAGACTTGGACTTCATTGTCCATTTCTTTCCAATGTTTAAATAAGATTTTTCTGATTTCACCGTGACTTCTTCCGGCAAAAAATGCAAGTATAGATCGAATTCTCGGTGATTTTCCGAGAAAAGACGGACCCAATTTACCTTTAGGAAGGTATATCTCCGGAATGGATACATCCACGTTAGGCCGGAATCCTTCCGATGTGTTAGCATTGCAAAGAGCCCTTATGAATTTTTCAAACAACTTTGGATTCCCATCGATCACGTCTGGTGCCTATACGCACAAGAATTGTAATCATATTTATATACAAAATAATGAAGATAGATAATAGTTCTTGATAAAATATCAATCAGATTAATAACATTAATTAAGGTTCGTAGCTTATTAATTAGTGTTAGCTTCATCAACACACTACATTTCTTTTGTTTATCGCAATCTGTAATATCAAGGAGGTCTTTGCTTATTTGAATTCAAGCCAAAACAATTTTACTAACAAAAACTAATCAATATATTAATTAAAGATGTCTAATATTAATCATACTCTCAACCATTGAAAAGAAAAGAGAGTACGTTTACGTACCCAGTCATGGCATGATACCATGAAATGGTCGCCACCTTTGCTTCTGTTCCAATAGCGATGCTTAGTGGCAACTACATCAACATAATCCTCTATAAGACGGTGTAGGCGAGCCCGCGAAAATCCTTCGACAGAGGTGATGGGCTTGTAGACGAAGTGGATGACCTTGGCGACGCTAAATGGTATGAAGAAAACGTGAGCATCCTCAGGGTGATCCGCCCGAAAACGGCTTCTACTCTTTGGTCCGTCCACGCACATTTCGTCCATGAATTGTCCTTCTATACCGTAAATGTCATTCACAGGGCCGTCATGGAACAGTGGGACCTCTCCCTCTGTGTATGTCCACACCTTAAAACGATTCATCATCTCCGTGTGACTCCTGATTTTTTTGTGCATACACGAGTGTGACATCAATGTTTATTTATTACAAGTAAAAAAAAAAAAAAAGTACGTACAAGTGCATGTAACTTAATTTCATAATCTATTAAACGATATTTTTGAAATGTTGGTATAAGATTATGTACCGGTTTACTAAACCGAGTTAATTAGAGTCTGTACTGGTAAACCGGATGTATATATACTCTGTCACTCGTAACAGATCATTTAGTGAGAATAACAACTTTTCATCGATTCTTTCGTTTTCTCACGAAAACTAACATGGTATCAGAGCACAATTGCTCCGTTTTTCGTCGCAAATCTCGCTGGTATAATGGATATGCCCAATCTCCTAAAACTATCATAATTATCAAAGAAATAGAAAATAATAATAATAATTATCATAGCAAATAGATATATTAGTTATATTATGCTCATATTAACTTTATTTTGAAGAGTGTAAAAGAACTACACCGTGTGAAGAAATTAATTGATTCTGCATCAAATCAAATTGAATTCGTGTACAAGTAAATCTTGAAGTGGTTAATGTCGATTTAGAGATTGGTGATATGTCCTAAGAAAACTCGTTTTATATAAAAAGAAATTCATAGATTTGAAAAGTTTATAACGCATAAAGGTCATTTCCAAGATTTGGTTCTTTATGTTAAATTTAAACAGATTTTGAGATTGGATAAACGAGAAGTCAAAAGCTTTCCTTAACATTTTTTTTTTTCAACGCATAGTTAATAATTAAAACCTTTTTCATGTTAGCTTTCTAACTAATGAGCTTATGTTTTTTAAAAGGCCATTAGAATAAACTTTCTAGTGTAAAAGTAGTTTAATATATTAGAACTTCTTTCCAGTTCAATTGCAATAGCAATACTATGATTTGAAAAAAAAAGAAAAAAAAAAAGAATATAAGCTTTTGCTTAGAAAGAGGCATCTCACCAGAGCCGTTAAACTGTGTATTGGAATTTGGTAAGGTTGCGTAATTATTTTTTGTCTTTATAGTAACCGTACTTAAATGCTGAGTTCTTTGATAAAATCGATGTCAAATAGTTTGAAAAATAAAGAAGCAAAATACATGTGAAAATTGTCAGCGGTATCATCTTTGACTAAAAATCCAAGTACTGTACTAGTATTAAATTACCAAGTTTAAAACAAAAAGGAATTTTTTCATTATCTATGGTTAAAAACTTTATAAGAAAAAAAAGAATTGCAAAACTCAACTGATGAAAGGCGGCTGGGTTTTTGTAGAGAGAGCTGATATAATTTTGTGTAGAAGCTGCCTTCTTAATTGCTGCTCTTGCTTTTGCTAAATCTGATTCTATTTTATCCAACCCACTTCTTTTCTGATCATAGCAAAAATAAATGTAATGAATATTAGAAAAAAAAGGTTTTGATCAATAGCAAAAAAGCACTACCGAAAAACATGTATTCTTAACATCGGAAAAATAATTTTCGCAAAAATAAAAGTAACGAATATTAAAAAAAAATGGTTTTGATCATAGCAAAAAGCACTACAGGAAAAACATGTATTATTAGCATCGGAAAAATGTTCTAACATCGCAAACAAAGGAAGAATGATTACGTACCTTAATTACAACTTTTTTACTTGTAGGACTTGGAGACTTATTTTGGTTTTGGTGATCAGAAAAAGAGGATGAAGAAGCAAGAGTAGTGTTTGTTGTATTGTTTTGTCCGAGATGAGAAAAAGGAGGAGAGGCTGAGATCAGACTAGTGTTTGTTGTGTTGCTCTGACCAGGAAGAGACAAAAGAGGAGATGCTAAAACAAGACTAGTGTTTGTTGTGTTGTTCTGTTCAAGAGGAGATGGAGAAGGAGGAGAAGAGATAGAAACAGAGAATTGGTTTCTGTAATCAATTAAGGGCTTATTAGTTGGTTTTGTGGAGACAAAGAGTGAAACAGAAATAAGAATAAGAGAGATGGAGATAAGGGTTAAGAGAGAAAGAGAGCATCTTCTTGATCTTGGAGCAGCCATGGCTATGTTATTTTTTTTCTTTGGGTTCCTTTTTTTGATTCTTTACTCTTAAGAGGAAGACAGAAGAGAATTTTGGAAGTGAGGAGAAAAGAAGAAAAGTCATGAAAGATTCTTTGGTATGTCTCTATCATATCATTAGTGGAAGAAATGAGTTTTAGTTCACCAAGCAACTTGTTCTCTTTTTTCTTCCTTTGATATATTTGTTCATTTATAATCTTACAAATAATGCGTTTTTTTTACAACCCTTTTTCTTTTTGTCACGTTTACAACAATTTAGATATTTGTATATGTTATTTTATGTATATAAAGCTGAACCCCGTACTTTTTTTTTATATATATTTTACAATCCCGTACTTTTTTTTTTGTCTTTCGAAATTAATTATAGCTCAAAAAAATAAATTCTAGAGAATGTTATTTACATATGTGATATGTGACGGTTCTGTCCGAACTTTTCGTGACAGATTATCCGATTTAGCATTAGCACTACAAAAAATTAAAGACAAAGAGAAGCTTGAAAACTCTTCTTTGTCGCTTTAAAATTCCTCTAAATACACTAAAAACTCCAGCCATTCAGTTGGAGAAGACACCATCTTCACCAGATCAGAACCAATCATACACTTCATCGCTTAGAGAAGGGTCTCGACTTCTGTATGTAATGAAGACAGACTTCTACGGAGATTGGCAGCTCCCATGGTTGGCGCCTCTCTATTTGACGATGTACAGAACCACCCTGTACCGAAGAACTTATCACTTCATTTCCACGATCCATCCACGAAGCAACGATATCCTGAATAGTTCGAATCAAAAGAAACCTCCCTCACTCGAGGCCGAGTTGTCGAAACCACAGAACCATGATTTTCTTGTTGGAGCTCTAATTGAGCCGCTTGCCATAATTGTGTCTCTTTTTCTGCTAACCGTAATACCTCTAACGGGTCTAGTCCAAAACTTCTTTGGATATAAATTGGTTATTAATGACAATTAATTTATTTACGCTGAAGCATCAGTCCCATAATCTCTTCAGGCAGAAGGTTATAACAGATTAATTAGTTGTGTTCCACTCGAACTTGAAACTCTCTCTTCCTCCATCCATACTAGAGCATGATTCGGTTCTACATTTCTACTAGTAGAGTCACCTTCTCCAAATGATAATTTAAAATAGAAAAAAAATGTCTATAAAATCTTCAATTTTTAAAGAATACTTAAAAAAATTTCAATATTGGTTTTGGTAAAATAACTCGTTAACTTTTATTAATTTTTTGTTTAGTCGTTAATTTTTATTACTAAATGAGTCACATTGCTAAGTTGATTAACGAAAAAAATCAACGAAATTAAATTTTCCATTGAAATACTCTATTAAACCACAGAACAACGTCGTTCTGATTAAAACATAAAATAAAAAAGCGACTTGAACCTTTTCCAATATAAATTTAAATTTCTCCTGCCAAAAAAATTAATATAAAGTTAAATTTCTGCAAAACTAGGTTTATTCCAAAGGTAAAGAGTTCCATTAGTTAAAGGGTTTGTTTGGAAACTAGTACATTTCTAAAACATAATTGTAGAAGTAGTACGGTTACTTTTCATAATGGTAGAAGTAGTACGGTGGGACCAGTTTGTGAGATATAAAATTGTGAGATATAAATATTAGTGGATTTTAGAAAAGACCAAAAAGGGCTTTTGTTTGTCTCTGAGAAAAAGAAACGTGGGTGTGACAAACGTGGGTCAGGCTTTTTAAAAGGATTTCTTTTTCTTTCTTTATTACATTACATTCCTTCAAAGTTTAATAATTAAAATGCTCGTTCGTAAATTTTATTTTTGTAAAATAGATCATATACATAAAAATCTATGTTTTTTCTCTATCATTTGATATGCATTTTGTTTGATGATTTTTAAATTTATATTACAGACCACAGTACAGATGTAAACCACTGTACAGATCTAGACCACTGTACAGATGTAGACCACTGTACAGATAAACACCACTGTACAGAAGAATATCTGTACAGAATGATGCATCTGTACAAAAAAATGTATGTACAGAAGGATGCATCTGTACAGAAAAATGTATGTACAGAAGGATACATCTTATATTTCATTCTCTCCAAGTCTAATAACTAAAATGCTCGTTAATGGTTTTTTTCTCTCTACAGTTTATCATATACTTAAAAATCTATGTTTTTCTTTCTATCATTTGATATACATTTTGTTTGATGATTTTTAAAATTTATATTTTAGAGACCACTTTACAAAAATAATATCTGTACAATTATAAACCACTGTACAAAAGAATATCTGTACAGAAGAATATCTTTACAGAAGAAAATATCTGTACAGAAGGATACATCTGTACAGAAGGAATCATCTGTACAGAAGGATACATCTGTACAGAAGGATTTGACAATGTTTGATAGTTTTTATTGGTTTTTAGTTTCTAGTTTTTGGATTTTGGTTTTTGTAATTTTTGTTTTTTGGTGTAGATTTTAGTTTTTGTAAAATCTTGAATGGTAATTTGTTTAGTTTATAGTTTTTTACATAATATCAATTTTAAAACGTTTTTAAGTTATTTATTTTAATTTTTGGTTTATATTTTGTAATTAAAGTGAATAGGTAAATGGTGAAATAACATATTTAAAATAATTAAAAAAAAAATTTAAAAACAGTTTGACGTGAATTGTTAGAAAACCCACAAAACTTGGTTTTTGGATTCTATAAAGAAATGGACAAAATCTCTTAAAATCTTGTTTATCTATTTTTTCCAAGATGCAATTTCTCTTCTTCTTACCAATCTGGACATCCTCTTGCCACTTCTCCTTTCTATTGGAATATCTCTGATAGCTCTCCCACTTCACCCACCTGCAACATTTTCCATACTCCTTAAGCTCTCTTCATTTTTCTCAATTCACTTACTAAATCTTTTCTAATACAACAAAACACACAAGCAACATATAGTTTTGACCTTTAATTCTGACTATGTTGACTAGATTGTAGGGCATAGAAGGTACATATGGCCGAATCAAAGTTGAACACTTTACATAAGAAAAGGGACAATCACATGTTTTTGTCATTGTTTACGTCTTCAGATCTATGAGTCTTCCACTTCCAAGTTACAATCAAAGTCCAAATTATACAACCAAAACAAAGCAAGTCACAATATATATTTGTTTTTGTTACAAAAAGATTGAAACTTTTCATGGAAACAAAACATCAAATTAGAGAAAAAAAAGATCAGGAGAATAACAGAGAAAACCCAAATCAGATATCAGATTTAATAGAGAAAAAAGCCAACTTTTTTGTTTATCAAACAATCAAATAAAAACAAGACCCATTTCAATTTTCATAAGACATAAGAGATTGATCGTTCCAAGAAAATACCATCGCAAGAAGGAGATTTCTTGGGCTGTGATACTAGTTGAAGCATAACCAAAAAAAAATCTAATTGAAACAGAGTATGGAATCATCGGCGAACCTTAACAGCGGTGGCTACGGCATCGCCGATGAGGCCAGGAGAAGTTGGTTTATTTGAGATGTGTTGGTGTTTTGAGGTGTCTGTGGGGGTTGTCTGCTTAATTTGCTTTGGTTGGTAATTGGTAAATTAGGGTTAGGAAGAGAGAGGAAGAAGAGAAGAGATAGCCGACGTCTTCATCGCCGGAGATGATGATGATTTCGCCGGAGATTTGTTTTATGATTTCGCCGGAGATTTGTTGTTTCACTGAAAAAATCACAGAATCGGAAAGTGATGATATCCGTGAGAGATTGAAAATACACACAGAATAATTCGCTGACGATGGCAACAGATCCGTGTAAAGTGATGATATCTTTAGCAGCCACTATTTTGGACGCCATTGAAGAAGCGATATAGATATGTGATTTTGAAAATCTATTGTTCTGTGGAAGCAAATTGAATTCGACGCTTAGGGTTTTGATGATTTTGAAAATGAAAAAATAAAATTGAGAGAAGATTAAAGAGATCAGACAAAATGTGTAAAAAAAAAAAATAATAATTTATTTTAATTTGGATGGCATGCTTGTAAATAAAATGGTTTGATGAGGATTTGGAAGTCATATAAACAGTAGTGTACAGTGTAAACTCGGTGCTTTTCCCCATTGTAAATAGTAACCGTATCACTTTTCTAATTATGTTTGAAAAACGTATTGATTTCCAACTTAACCCTTAGTTAAAAAGAGTTAAATTTAACTTTGTAATTTTATTATGTTAGTCATTTTAACGACGTGATATATATATATTTGACTCCCCATAGAATTTTCTCTTTAACACTAATGTGTTTTTTTTTTTTTTATGTTGTGTGACACAGAAGTTTTTGACACAGAGTTTGTTTATCTTTTTGACGTCAATTAGACAAAAGGTTTATAATTCTACAATAAATGCGTTAATTAAACTGATAACTGCTGTATATGTTTTTAAAATATATATTGACCTGAGTCATCTCCGTTTACTGCTAGTCTGTTATCAATGTGACACCCCAACCAACTTAATTTTAAGCCTTTTCCGGCTAGAAAATTAAATAATAATATAGAGAACCAAATCTTGTAACAAATATGGCTGTAAATAAGTGAAATTCACGCATGATTAGAAAAATGTAAAATAATGTTATCGAATGAAATAATATAATATTTGTTTACAAGATTCTCAAAATCTATGTTATTTGTATTATGTTTTTCCCTAAGTTGTTTACTTATGTGCAAATCAATAAACAATACTGAATACTGTATATTGAAATTCATTAATGTAACCTTCAATACTAACTTCCACATTAACAGAGGTAATTTACTTGCACATTTTTGGTCATGTATGTAAGCATTAGTTAACCATTAAGCACTAAATTTGATAATTTTTGCGTTCTCAAAGTACTGATGTTAAAAGACTTAAAAGTAATTGTGTTGATATCTAAAAATAGAAAGCGTGCATGCGAAATCCGTGGTCCAAATCAAACAACGTGGAAAAAAGTAATATGTTGAGATCAAATTTAAATTGAAAATCAAAAGTAGAATTTGAATGAGACTAAGCTTGTTTTATTAACTTTTTATGCGTAGTTCAAATACAAGAAACCATTTGGAAAAGGAGAGCCTGGGTAGATGTTAAATATCGTTTGGTCATAAAATATTGTGCTGGATATCTTTTTCCTCAATGCATGCAA